GAAACAGCGGTATCCAAGTAAATTGTTTAATTGCTGTTGAAGCACCACCTGCTGGCAGAGAGTGAATCTGCATTCTAATTCAGCCTGTCTGCTGTTTTGCTTCGTGCAGATGTTTTATGTAGAATATTTTCACAAAACTAAAGTCAGACCATTTTGTTTTTGCTTCAAATTTCGAAATTATACAATCCAATGTAGATTAAAAACTGCTCATGCTGCATGTCTGCAGCCTCTTTGCTAGGATTGTGTTGTGTTTAAAATACTGTGGTTGCCTCTAATTTTAAATTGAAAAAGAGAACAGACAAAGCCTTAGTTCGTTTATATGAGATTTTTAATTTGTGTTACTAATTGGATTGATTGGGGTTGGTTTTAAAATGTCAATTTAGCTTTGTTGTTTGACATTTTAATTTTACAAAGAAATGTGCAGCATTTTGTCTGACAATTAATAAATGGACACCTTTTCATTTCTAATTTGTCTTAAATTTTGTTAAAGTATTTTTTGAGAAAATCATATCGGGAAATCAGTATTTCAAAGCCAATTTAGCCTCAATAACTAGCTGAAAGAACTGTTGCTAATAAATAGAACAAAGACTTGAGACGTGACTTGGACTCCACTTTAAAGACTTGAGACTTGACTTGGACCTCAGAGACTTATGAACATGTCTGAAATGTGAGCTGCTCTTGCAGCTCGCTGTTCTAAATTAAAGAATTTGGACGATGACTGTTGATCTATTATATGTTAATGACATTAATTAGGAGTCGTTTACAAGGCAGAGAGCTGAAACCATTGTGATTCATAGATTTCACATCTGAAAGAGTCCCATATGTGTGTTCTATGAATCGCACGTACGCATATTTGAGAAATGATCGTAAGATCAAATTTAGGATGGTTTCTGCAGAACATTTTATATATGAGGCCCCAGAAGATGGTTTTAGTTGCTGCAATCTGGCCTTTATCTACTACAAATATTTCTTCCTTAATTTTCATGACTTGATCAGTGAGATGGTCAGTCATGTGTCTAATTTAAGAGCACAGATCAAGCTCACATTTTAATTCCCCTCAAAATTCTTTAATATTAAGCCCTATAAAGTTCAACATCCAAGATGGTTGTAGGTGTTTATAGCTGAATGAGGCTCTGTAAATCTGTAAAAAAAAAAGTTGGCAATTACAAATACAAAGAATAGATGATGAACAGTGTTCAAGTGTTTCTGTCATTCTTCTTGCTCCTCTTTAGGAAGATAAAGACATGAATCACAATATGTTTTTTTCAGTCAGATTGTTCCTGTTTGTGTATGTTTACGCAAAGATTTTGGCCACATATAAAAAGGTTATTTTTGAATGCCACTTTTGAGTTTATCAAAAGATTATTCTGTAGTATGTTGCTGAAATAACAATGATGTTAAGGGGGCCATGACTTGAGAAATCAAATTTGCCTTGATATTTTGACATATGCCATGATATTTTGACCTCGGAGATGAGGAAAGAGAGGAGGAATTAAACTGGGGAAATAAACCACTGCTGCCATCCATGAATTCGAGAAACGTGCAGTCTCGGAGGAACAAAACAGAGGAACTGCACACCTTCCAGGATTTGTTAAAAATATCGCAAGTTCTGCTTGATGGTGCTTACAGAGTCCTGGCTGCACTGTGATGTCCCCTACTCATTGGTTGAACTCAAAGTTTTCCCATGTTCGAGCACACAGGGATGAGCGTTTGTGTCTATATCAGAGAAGTCATCCAGCTTTAATAATAATATATTCTAATATTGATTTAGCTTATTGTGATGTTCAACAAGTGTCTTATAGCAGCCACTTAATGCTCAGAGTAACTATCACTTTTAACACATTCAAATGTATTTTTAGTATGATTGTTTTGAGCAAGAAAAACAGCACTGCATTACCCCATCATTTTAATTTGTCAAATAAATCAGTATGTATGATTAGTAATTCAGCACTTGCAGCTATTTCATTAGAATGAACATAAATAATGTGAATTTATGTATTTTCTGTGTATTTTATTTTTATCATCAATATTATTGTTTGTGTTCTCTCGTGCTCATTTGGGTTTGATCTGAGGTTTGCCGGCATTGTACAATGCTTGAGAGAGTGTCAGTGCTGTTTTTAAAGTTAAAATTTGACCTGAAGGTGCGGTCTGACCTAACATAACCAAAGGAAATGAGAAACTCTGCCCTCTTACAGCACTGACCAGGAAGAGACTGCCTCATTCCTCCTTTCTGTCAAACTGACTCGTGTCTCAAGATAAAAAAAATTTTTTTATTAAATAATCAAAAACGAATCGGCGTTCAGTGGAGAATGAAGAGAAACACTTTCAAGAAGGATTTTTGAGAA